AGTTCCATGACTGATATCAAAACCAGTGCCGCATCTCCCAGCCTCATGGTAACTGGCTTGGGATGCAGAATGTCTGGAGAATTCCATGTTGCCCCAGCACTGCAGGAGGCAATGGAGTGGAAACCCTGCTCATAACCATGTCAGAGCACTCACTGATTGTCTCTCGGAGAAAGGAGAGCAGAAGAAGGACCACGGGACTGGTTGCAGCCTCCATTCTGCCTTCAGCACAAATAGTGGTGGCGTCTCCTGGAGGCTGAACCAGCCATTTGTGCAGCCTTTCAAACTCCTCAATGCATGTTAACCTTGGTTATGAGCAAAGCTCATAAATGTTGCAACCGCATGCATCTGTGTGTCAAATTCACCCTTCAGGCTGGTTCTCTCTGCACACTAAAAGAACAAGGCAAGCTCATTTATTTTATTCCCGCTTGTTGACAAGTTCTCTGCAGATGGGATGCACCCTCCCTTATCAATAATTTTGAAAAGCTTTTTCATTCACACCAAGTGGCCTCCCTAAGCCAGCGGCTTTTAATAGCATTAAGTCTTCGAGCAAATCAATTTCTGTCTCAATTATGCGCTAGTCTGGTGCTCCCCTCCAAACCTTTTACTTCCCTCTTAGGAGAAGATCTCTCCATCACTCTATACCACAAGGACCGAATATAAATACGATGTCATCATGCATTGCCAGAAGACCTGGAAGCCAGCCATCACCCAACTATTTTAATAGCAACCTTTGGAAGAAACCAGCAGTGTCACCCATGTATTACAAGGCATTACTGGCTGGTCTTAAAATCAAAGCGGTGATTCATTGTTTAGCTAAGAGGGAAAAGGGGGCTTACCTTTCTGCATTGTTGTTTGACCTTATCCCTTTAACTTGGAGGCAAAAGAAGTTGAGAAGGCTGTTGCACCTGAACTCGTGCAAGAAATAAATCAAATGTGGAACAGAACGCTTTAACGGTCCCATTGCACAAGGACAAATAGTGGCTTTTGGATACAAGTACGAAGCGCTTTGGTGGAGAGATGAAAGAGGCAGGCGTGACAGAAGATGAAGGGCTTTGCTACCTAATTAAACTTATTATGGAGAAACAAAGCTTCCCAGGTTGTTGCATGGCTTGGTTTCATTTCTTTTTTCTTTTTTAATAAATAGTTTGCAAAGATCAGTCAAAGGCTAAGCTAATAGATTGCTAACTTTACAGATGTTTGGCAAGTCAGAGCAAATGGACTGTAACCAATGAAAAGCGATCGCCCTCTGATTCGGTAGCGCCCTGGGCTCTGCGACAACAGCGAAGGAACACAATAGCAACATATTTCACCAGGCCTTGAGGGCAGCTGTGATGATGAAGGACTCTCTCCCCAAGAAATGGTGGGAAGAACAGGGTCAAATGTTCACAGCACGACCCCAGAGGATGCTATCTGTGATCAAATCTGGTACTGTGGAACATTTCTGCCTTCCGCTTTACTGGGTTTTAAAGACAAGATTCTGACCCTTATCACTATGAAGGAAAATGAAAAAGGGTTCAGAGTATTATTTTTGGGACGCCCAAAGATGGAACCTTGGCCATGACCTTTGGTGAATGGGGAGGATCTGTGACTGGGGGCAAGGGAGATATTCTGTTGTCTGCCTTACAAAGAACTGGCATCACCTTTTTGGGGGGGGGGGTGTGCTTGAACATGTTGTTTAGAATGGCATCATAATGGCTGTATGGTCAGTGATGGGCATAAAACTCATAGGATAAGAGAGTCTCCTACTATCTCCTAAGCATCTTGGAAGAGTCTTTGTAACACACTTCCTTTGTGTGTCAGCAAGGTCAAAGATAACACTAACCTAGCCAAGACTTGCTTCAATAGGGAACTAAGCTGACAGCACTGATTCTGAATAGATGGTCCTCAGCTTCTGCCAAAGTCCTGTGCCAAGCTTGTCTGCACAGTCCTTCACAGGCTATTGCTGAAAGACGTCCCTTTCCCTGCTTCACATAGTTCTTCCCTCATTTCCTTCTTAAATTGCAAACTGTCATCCGGAATACATCTAGTTGAGGATGCATTCAGCATTGCAGCCACAAGATGCATCTTATCAGCAGGCTTGCAAAGGGATAAAATGAGGGTTCAGAGGTACTCAGAACTTTCCAAGGAATGACAAGACTTGAAGCAAAGATGGAAGAGAATTGGCTTAGAGAAAATGCATGCAAAATGAAGACCAGCATGAAACAGACTGAATTGGTTGGAATCCCAGCCCATTCAGAAAGCATCCCTTTGAGCAACAGTCATTAGGACCTGGCCAGACACTCTTACCTGCTATGAATGATGAGATCTATTCTGCATTCGGTAAAGAAAGCAAAAAGCAGAGAGCAGGAATAAAAGGGAAATCCTCCCAATGGACAGATGCACACAGCCGGTTTCCACAGGGATCTGTATCTGGAACAATGCTTTTCAACTTACTCATAAAAAGCTCTGGAATTAGGAGTGGGCAGTGAATTGGACAAGCTTGCTGAAGACACCAAATTATTTAGGGTAGTTTAAACAAAAAAGGAGTTGCAAGAGGATCTCCCCAAACTAGATTGGGCATCAAAATGACAAATGGGATTCACTGTAAGCAACTGTAAAGTGATGTACTCTAGGGCAAAAATTTCCATCAGCGATAAACTAACGGAATCGGTGCTTGTGATGACTGACCAAAAAAGAGATCTTGGGTTTGTGGAGGACAACCGATCAAATTGTCAAAATGTGCAGTTGCTATGATAAAGGCACATCCATGCTAAGCATAATTAGGAAATGAATTAAAAAAGGAAACTGCCAAGACCACACTGCCTTAATAGACATCTATGGTGCAGCCATACTTAAAATATTGTGTACAGTTCTGGTCACCACACATGAAAAAAGATATTGTTGGGAGAAGTGCAGCAAAGGGGTCACTAAAATGAATAGGGTTGGAGCAACTTTCCTATGAGCAAAGGTCATAAGAGCTGAGATTATTTCGTTTATAAAAAAGTGAGTAAGGGAAGACATGACATGCATGGCAGGGAAAATGTGGATATAGAAACTTCTTTCTCTCCATTTCATAATCCTAGAAGCTTGGAGCATCTTACAAAGCCGATGGATGGGAGATTCAGAACAGAGCAAAGGAAGCGGTCCTTCGTACCATGCCTAGCAATACTGTGGAATTCACTTCCACAAGTTTTTTAATTTTTAATTTAACAAACATTTATATCCTCTCCTTTCTGATGAACAGCTCAGAATGATTTGAAATATTACAATAATACAATGTTAAAACAGTAGATATTGAATTAATATAAAATGCTTCATAAAACAAGGGAAAGGAAGGAGAAAAAGAGTAGAGAATGAGACTGTGGAAAAAAAGATCTTAAAACATCTAAAACCCTTAATTATTAAAATAATGGTTGAATAAAAAGGTCTTTACCTGGTGCTAGAAAGAGTACAAAGTCGGCACCAGGCAGACCACTCTGGGGAGCCCATTTCATAGCGGTAGCGATGACTGTCCATCTGCAGGTCTTAAAGGGGGACTGGACAAATCCATGAAGGAACATGCTATAAATGGCTCCTGGTTCCAATGCCTAAAAGTTGCCTCCAGAACAGAGGCAGTACACTGGGGAACTTGAGCAAGAGGATGTTGCTGCACTCTTTTCCCACTTGGGGGATCCCATGGAGAGCTGGTTGGCCACTTTGTGAGCAAAGCACTGGACTACATACTCACTGGGTGGGATCCAGCTTTGTTCTTTTTATGTGCTTATAAGCACTCGGGGGTGGTTGGGACCGCCTTGCTGCTCTCCCCACTGCGATCCCAAGACTTTTATGGCTCACCCCAGCTTTGTTGCAGGGTTTTTGGAGCATTGTGACAGCCTGCTTGACCTATGAGCACTGGTGCCTTTTAGCAATGGACTTGTCATAAATACAGTATCTCAGGTGCTCATTCCATAATAATGGAAATACCTTCAAGATGGACAGTAAGTGGTTTATCCTTAGTTCTGCCCTTGATTCAATCTTTCCTCGGCTGTATAATGGATATGTTGCATGTAGTCATGGTGTAAGTTACTGGCATGGCAGCTTCCATCCATAAAGCAATTAAATCAGATATACTAAGCTGTGCCATGATGCATGCTCCGAGGGTATTATCCCTCGGGTTTCAAGCAATATCGTCCTTGGAGAAACTAGCTGTTCATCACAGTCTGTCTATAGCAATTGTGTACTGGTTTTTATCTAGGTAAGGACAGTATGAAAAAGAAAATGGAAATGTAGCCATTAAATAAGGAAAGCCTTGTAACCTTCAGCAGAAGAAGAGTATCATGGAGTACAGACATGACCACTTTAAAGGGAGAACTTAGACCAGTATTTTCCTACAATAGATTGTACAACCAACTGTACCATCATTACACAGCAAGACCTATGTGGAATTCCCCCATGGCCCATCTCCATGTGGATTCCGTCGCACACTGATTCCAAAAACACCAATGCACACAGGTCAACATGGGAATACCTGCTATTCAAATGCACCCATAAAATTAATCAGTTGTTATTAGGAGTGGATTTGGATAACACATGGATGGCGTGGTTAAATATAGGAGTCAAAAGTTACGGCCAACATGTGGTAATCATTTCAAAGAGCTAGACCATCATATGGTAATTGAAATCATAATTGCCTTTTAAATCAACCCCCTGCTATCTTTTCTTTCTCTTTTTTAAAAGTGAGGAACAAATATACTGTATGGTTCTGATCCAGCAAAGTGTTGCATGCATTCATATACCACAGTATACGCACATCAAACTTCCTTTGCTCTCTGGCTTCCCAGCAGCTTTTGCCAGGGAACTGAAAGCTGATTTTTAATCTTGGGGGTATGCGAAAAATACAGGTTGAAGGTTCAGTAGGAAAATGGCATGATAAATTACACTGTATTCACAGATCTGGCGCTCACGTATTACAACATCATAGCCTACCCATTCTGGGCAGTTTAGAGAGAAGTTTCTTGGAAAATCTGTTTTAGTATACTTACGTCGGTCACATTTGGGTCCCATCCAGCCAGGATGGCACTGGCAAGTTCCAACGATGTGGTCACAGGGGGCTCCATTCTTGCAGTCACATACCTGGCCACAGTCAAGCCCAAAAAAGCCATCTGGACAAGCTGAAGATGCAAAAAGAAGAGAATGCGATTCTGATTTGTGCACAGATCCACCTGGCAAGGAATATTTGCTAGCCCTCAAGCAGAGATTTTAGAAAGTAACAGGGGACTGCATCAAGTTTTAGTTACAGAGTTGATCCAAGAGTGTGTCCTTGCACTGAAGGCAAAGTGCTGTTTGGATTGTAAAATTCACTTCCATCAGCCTGGAGAGGAATAAGTTCAACATATTTGATACTAGCAAGAAGGTTATCCTGCTGAGAGAGGAGCACAAAGCTTCCAGGTGAAGCCTGATGGAGCAGCAGGCCTCTTCTAGTGTGATGCTCTGAGTTGGTCACAACATACCATTAAGGCATTATATTGATGGATCACATAATGGGCAGATCCATGATTGCACAACCTGGTAACAACAGCAACACTGTAATCTTAGCCACACGGATGCAAAGGAATTCCAGCACCTGGAGTGCTGTGATCACATCTTCTGCTTGTGCCAGGTTAAGACAAATGATGTGCAGGAAACTTCCTCAGCTCTTGAACCCCACCATTATCTTTAAATGCAGCTTGGTAGATATTGCTGTGGTCATTATGTGCCATCAAGTCCTCTCCAACTTATGGTGACCCTAAGAATGAATGCCCTCCAAAATGTCCTGTCTTTCACAGCCCTGCTCTGTTCTTCATAGCCATGTTCCAAGGCTGGGGCTTCCTTTATGAAGTCCATCCATCTCATAGCTGGTCTTTCTCTAATTCTTCTGCTTTGACTTTCCCTAGCATGATTGTCTTCTCCAGTGACACTTGAAAGATACAGGTAAGTTTTTCAGAGCAGAGAGGGTAAGAGCATTAACTGCAAGCTACTGCTGAAGGCACAGCTTCAGCAGCTGGATGAAAAGATAGCAACCCCAATGGAGTAAAATGGTCCCATAGAGTAATGGTCCTTTACAACATGGAGGAGGGGTGGAGGTGGGGAGAACATATTGCCCAAGAGAGCAATTCCATTTTGAAGAAACATTTAGGGTCACATTTCAGTAGCAGGCGAGACCAAAGGAAAAAGGAGGCCAAAACCAAAATGTCAAAACGATTGGCGTATTTTAGTGCCTGCCTCTCACTTCCTGTAACTAAGCCTTTGGAGAAGTATTTCAGCCTTTCAGATTGGTGGAAATTGCGCAAAAGTCAGGAAGTTACCACACTGGTCTTTGGGGGAAAGAGAAGTGGTCATCTGGCCCTAGGAGAAGCAAATTTGACCACCCTCAAGTCAGAGGTCCTAAACCCTTGCCTTAATATTACCAAGTACTTCCCTTTATTTGTCCTGAATCGATCAACGTCATGGGAATCAGATGTAATCTGAGAAGGAGAGAAAACTATTCCTGTCCTCTTTCTTCACACCATGCACAATCCTGTACACCTCTGTCATATCTCTCCTCACCTACCCTTCCTCTAAGCTAAACAGTCCCTGACACTGTAACCTTTCCTTGCAGGGGAATTGCTTCCGCGGCTTGATTGTTTTGGTCACTGTCTTCTGCACTTTGCCCAACCCAACAACACCCTTCGCACATGCAGGGCTGTTTCCTTGCCAAGAGTAAACCAAAGCAACTGCACTGCCACCCTGGAGCTTCGGCATGGAGGCACCACCACTGCCCCTGAGGGTATGAGGGGGGTAAGCCTCTTGGGCCTGCTTGGACAGGAAGCCTTCTGAGGTAATGGCCTGTTGCTGCTCCTCAGGGAATGTTGAGCATCATAGGCCTGCTCCTCCCATTCTTTTGAGTCAGCCTCACTGAGTTCAAGGTGCAGGCACTGATGGGTGCTGAGAAAAGGCTTGGTTCACCTTGAAGATGGGGAAATGGAAGGAAGAAAAAGGTCCACCAGAAGGTGTTCCTTAGAACAATTCTTGGTGTAGCCTTGCTGTGTGGTCATGGTGAATGGGTACATTTCTGACATAGTCCTCCTCATCCAGCTTATCCACCTTGACGAAACACAGGTGAGCAAGGAACAAGGAACCTCAAGGAACCTCAAACAAGGAAAAGAAACCTCAAATATACGGAACTTGCAAGTTATGTAGGCTTGTACAAGAAAGTCAGTTCATTCCAAAATACATCTGAACCTACAGAAGCAAAACTGAGCCTGATTCTTAGCACAGCTTCACCATGAAAAATCAAGAATAAGGTTTCAGAGATTTCCACTGATGAAGTCTGGTGGCAATCAATGCCAGTTTCCTTAGGCAGATAAGGACTGGACTTGTCCCATCTGGCTTGCAATAAGTAGTTTACGATGTAAGCCCAGGAACAAAATGGGTGATAACAGTATGTTGAGGAAAAACCATTAGCTGGACAAGTGTCCTGTTTAGCTTTCCTTCCCACATGTAAGTGGAACAAGCTGGCTTCACCCCTCCCTCACCATTCCTGTCACCCCCTCCATGGTGGGGAGAAACTGCAGACAAGCATACTGTGTGTAGAAGCTCCGCCCCAGACCTTGTGCCACCCAGACACCGGCACACTAGTAATGTGTATGCACTGCTGGCACAAAACACTACCTAAATACGGGTCACTGCACACAGTAGGAACTGAATGAGAAGGATTCTACAGGAACCGTACGCACGTCACCTGTGCTTTGCAGCATATTTCACGGGATTCACACAATGCTCTGCTCCGTGTCATGGGGGACAGTCGTATGGGGCTGGGAAAGGTGCACAGAACAAGGTGTGCACTTCCTTCTCACAGTTCTGGCAACTCATCCAGGAGGCATATTGCAGCTTTTTGTGCAGGGGACAGATTAATATCACTGCTCGGCAAACAGCATTTCCCCCTCTCCTAACCTTTCCTTCCTTTATTAAGCATTGCCCCTGAGGAACAGTCCTGCAACTTGAAGGTTAGCTTACTCTCTAAGATATCGATAAAGGCATTATGCTACTCTTTCTATCTGTTCTATTTTTGATCGATTTTTAGTTTTCCTCACGGACTGACCCAAGTATCAGTATTATTTTGGTGGGGCCAATGTTGCAAATTGGCTCTGCATCCACTAGAGGGCAGCAGTTGCACACAAAACTTTACAGTTTACTCAGCTAATCTGCAGTTTACTCAGCTACATGGGAATATGTCTTTTTGTACAAACTTACAAAGTAACAGAACAAATTTTTGTGACAAAATGTAGAGTATCTAGATTTCAAAGTTGTGATAAACTAGAGAATGTTGCTGTAAAGCACTTAGTTAAATTAGGGATGGAAAAGGATTTTGTTTCTGTTTGTTTAATGTCAGAATTTAACCCATTCCTACTTGCATCCATCAAAGCATTTTGCAGACAAACTTTGCATATTCCGGCAAAATGTGTAGTTTAGGAAGAGATGGTGATCTAAAAATATATATTTGGGAAAATGTGAATTTTGACTATTTCATCAATGGGGGAAAGTACATATTTGCATGTGCATATTAAAATGGTTCACACAAATATGTATTTTTCCCATTCAAACAACAGAAACAGAACTTGCAATTGGGAATGGGTACAAAATAGACTAAACATCAGCTGGAACTTAGTGAAGTTTGAGAGCTGGAACACTGGATTCTCCCAGTTTTGGCTTAATCTTGGGTTTATCCAAACCAGTATGTCCCTTTTTTTTCTGTGCCCAACATTTGGCAGTGAAGCAACCCTTAAGGAATAATCGACAGAAAGGACCCTTATTCAAACCAGCTCTAGTTTTGTTTCAGCTAAACAAGACAAAAAATCTAATGGGATAACTCATAATCCTGTTATAATTTAATAGTGGTCTAGTAATGCTATCATGCAGAGGTTTCCAATTTTATAGAAAGAACAATTTCCACATCCATTTTCCTGCAGAGTACTCCTATGCCTATGCTGTGGACCCTAGGGAGCTGTGTATAATCCTGCCAAGATTCCTAAGATGCACAGGATTTTCAGCTAGGGATCTTTAGGGAATACAAATTCCCATACTATTTCCTGTGATCTACATGGATCAAAATTTGTGTCACTGGAAATGCATTCAGCAGCTTTGAGTCTTCTGATTCGCTCTGTTTCTAAGTAAACAAAAGTAAGCTGGCACTTGCAGGTTAAGTTTTCACCCATTTTAATAATTTTAACAACTGATTTTATAAGGCTTTTTAGATGTTTAAATTTTAATGTGTTTTTGTATTTGGTTGTCCGTCTTGCCTGGACATGTTCCTTGAAATTGCTCTGGCATATGCTAGTTATGATTAACCTGTTATTTTTAATGAACATTTTAATTAGTTGGTTGTATTTTATTGCTGTACGCTGCCTAGGGAGATCATTTGATCTGTTGGGCAGCTTATCAATGTAAAAATAAATACATAAATGAGACAGTCCCTGTCTTTGGTGTGACATGCTCAAATCAGCTGTGGGGCAACCCTCAGCCTTCAGAAGTCACAGAGTGTATGCAGCTGAAGAGAGCCCACCTGTGTGCAATTCCAGAGCCCCACGATCTCGAGTCCAATGCATCCATTTCTGGAAGGCCCCGGAGTTTGTTGGAGAGCTTAATAAAAGAAACAGCCTCATGAAGACTAAGGTGCTATCAAAGCAACTCTGGGATAAAGTTGTGCAGAAGCAGCAATCAGCGTAAGGTTATAAAACTGTGAACATCCCCAAAGCACCATTAAATCCATTATTACAAAATGGGAAGGATATGGCTTGACCATGATTCTGCCTAAGGAAGGCTGAGCAGCAAAATACAGTGACCAGATTAGGATGGGATTAGTCAGGGAAGCAACCAGGAAGCCAGTGGCAACTCCAGAGGAGCTGGAGAGCTCCACCTCTGAGATGGGAGAACTAGCACCTGGATGTGCAATAAAGCTTGGCTTTATGGAATAGTGGTAAGAAGAAACAAACCCATATCAAAGCCAGTTTGGAGTTTGAGATTTAAAAAAAATGAGGGAGATCCAGCATCCATGCAGAAAAGGTTCTTTGGTTTGATCATGTCAAAATCAAACATTAGCCTTGCTGCAAAACACTGCGTGCAGCACAAAGCGAAAGGTGCCCATTGCCGAGAACACGTTCCCCATAGTGATGCATGGAGAGGGCATCAACATGTTGTGGGGATGCCCTTCCTCAATGGGACTGGGAAACTGGCCAGGATTGGGGGCAAGATGGGTGGAATCAAATTCAGGGCAACTCTAGAGGAAAACCTGCTTTAGTCGGTGAGGGACTGGTGACTGGGGTGGAAGATCACGTTCCGACCCTCAACACATGGCCAAAGCAGCACTGGTGCGGTTTCCAAAGAAGAACCTGAATGTCTTAGAGTAGTGCAGTCAAAGCCTGAACCTCAGTCTCATTGAGAACCTGCAGCACGACTTGAAAGTTGCTGTTCACCAGCAGTTTCCATTCGACCTGTCAGAGCTGGAGCAGTTTTGTGAGGAAGAGGGGGGCAAATATGGCAGGAACTGGATGCGCCAAGCTGAGAGAGACCTGCCCAGGAAGGTAGTATCTGCCAAAGGTGCCTCTGCCATATACTGACTCAGGCCGAAAATGCATGCGGTCTGTTTTCCTGAACTCAAAGCATTTTGCCCCTTCGCAACGTTGAGAACCTGGTGCACATCAGCTGGTAACTATGCCACTTAAATCCATTTCGGTTCTAGGCTGTAACAAGTCAGGTGTGGGGAAGTCCAAGGGGAGTAACTGCTTTGGCAAGGCACCATGTGCACTTCCTTGGGACTGAATGGATACGATCACACAGCTAGTCTCGTAATTACGTTTAAGAGACTGGGAACACCTGCGGAATTGCCACTTTCTTGCTTCCAGCCTCTTCTCCCTCCTCTGCTTCAACATCAGCAAAGTGGGCTCATGCAATCTGCAGTCCAGCTGCTCAGTGATCCCCCAAAGACCTTCTTTGTGCCCCCCAGAGGGGTGTTCCCCACCCCAATTCCATCTGTAGCAATAGTGGTAGGAAGTCCTGTTTCCCCACAGGTCAAGTATCAGTCAGGAAGGGAATCTGCATCAAGATTAATGCAAGAATATAAGAAAAGCCATGCTGGATCAGACCAAAGGTACATCTTGTCCAGCACTTCTTACACATGGTGCCAAGCCAGGTGCCCACAGGATCGCTCAAGCAGGAGGGGTGCAAGGCCTCCTCCTGCCCAAGCTCCTCAGCAAGCATGGTGTGTGCAGGCATGCACCCTCTGGTGAAGGAGGAAGTCCACAGACAGCAAGGCTAGTAGCCATTGGAAGCCTCCTCCCTCATCAATCTGTCCGATCTCTTTTTAAGGCCATCCAGATTGGTGGCCATCACTTCCCATGGCAGCAAATTCCATAGTTTAACTATACATGGCATGAAGACGTCCTTCCTTTTATTGTCTTAAACCTCTCACCGTTCAGCTTCATGGGATGACCCTGAGTTTGAGTGTTATGTGAAAGGGAGAAAAATGCCTCCCCCTCTACTTTCTTCACTCCATGCATAATTGTAAACGCCTCTATGGCATCCTCCTTTCTGGCTGTTCTTCTAAGCTGAGCAGCCCCAGCTGTCATGGCCACTTAGGAAGGAAGGAAGGAACTGCAGGAAGCTGCTTCTGATCATTTTTGTTGCCTTCCTCTGTACTTTTTCCAACTTTATAAAGTCATTTTCAGGTGAGGCAGCTGGAACTGACCACAATATTCCAAGTGTGGTTGCATCAAAGATTCCTGTAAGGGGAGTATGATCTCGGTGGCTCTAATTTCCATTCTGTTCCGAATTATGCCTCACTTGAAGCGTGCCTTTTTCACAGCAGCTGACATGAAGCAGAGCCTCTCTCTCACCCACCTTCCATGTCTGCATGTGCACCTGCTATCCATGCAAGGTCCCCAAAGCTCAAGCCAGCATCCCATGTGGACCTGGCGATTTATTGCGTTCCTGCAAGACACGAACACTCCAGCAGTAATGCAAACTGCTGCTTAAGGTAAAGGTAAAGGTTTCCCCTTGACATTAAGTCCAGTCATGCCTGACTCTAGGGGGCGGTGCTCATCTCCGTTTCCTAGCCGAGGGAGCCAGCGTTTGTCCACAGACAGTCTCCGTGGCCATGGGGCCGGCATGACTAAACACCAAAGTGCACGGAATGCTGCTACCTGCCCACCGAAGTGGTACCTTTTCATCTACTTGCATTTGCATGCTTTCGAACTGCAAGGTTGGCAGGAGCTGGGACGGAGCAACGGAAACTGACCCCGTTGTGCAGATTCGAACCGGCGGCCTTTTGATCAACCAGCCCAGCAGCACAGCAGTTTAAACCACTGTGCCACCTGCATCCCTCTCCTGCTTAACCCGGGCTGTAAGCTAGGAATGGATCCTCACTAAGCAGGAAAAATGGCCAGCGCTTCCTGCAGTCAATGTAGGTGCTGCAATTAACTGGGGTGAGTGGGGCTGGAGGGAGGGAGGAATCCACCCCAGAGAGGAGCGAGACAAGCAGTTGAGCCGTGGACCCCTGGTCTCTTTAACCATGATAAAGAGACTGGGCCTGCTTTGTCTGCACTCGCGAGCGTATCACTGAGCTGGTAAATTATCCCCTAGTCTGTTGAACTGATCAATACGATCATTATAACAGACTTAAAATCTGCAGAAAATGTCACTGTTGATAATTGCATTGATTTTTTTTAAGGGAAGGAAACAGGAGAGAAGGAAGCGGAAGCAGAAATACCTTTCTCGCAAAATGTTCCTGTCCAGCCAGCGCCACTAGTGCACGCTCCACACACGTGGCCACAGGCAGTTGCATTCCTGCACTGACAGCTGTATTTGCATTTTAAGCCAAGGGTTCTCTTGGAGCATCCTGCAAACACGGGGCAGGTGAGATGCAGTGGGACAAAACTGCACAAGCCTGCCATCGATTCTGGAAGTTCTCCAATTAATTTAAAGCACTGCCCAAACAAACAAAATGAACCATTGACTTTTTGTTTTACAGAAATGCATTTAAAGATAAGGAGGGGCTGTCTGTGGATCTGACTATTCTAAAGGAATGTAAACGAGGCACAGGTAGTGGTCAAGGAAGGAAGGAAGGAAGGAAGGACGGAAGGACGGAAGGAATCCAAGTTTTGCCAATCCTAGAGCCTGACTTGAAATATATAGATCAAAGCTATACATCTTTTTGCAATACATGTTAGAACTACTCAAAAGGAGGAACTGATAAATGCAATTATGAATTCACCAAATGTACACCAGAAGAGCAATCATTCACACATTAGGAAGGCCACTTATTGAAACATGAAGTTGAACTAGTTCCTGAGTTCAAGCAACTTTCAAAGCAATTTTGCGCCTGGACCACACAGTTTTCGCAATATTTCAGCTCCAGCGGCTGAAATATGAGTAACCGCAAGAGGACTACTCCACAGCCTAGAAAATGCACCAGCTGGACTCTTTCCTAGATGGATACAGCAATGGAAGCAACTTCCATGCTGCGCTTCTAAGAATTCCTCCACTTCGACATGGTTGAGGGCTTACTCTGCTCACAGTGTTTTCCAGTATATCCTGCTTCACAGAAGCAAATCCCAGTACCAGGGTCACAGCTACCAGCACGGTCCTTGCAGTCACATGAGCTCCCACAGAGCTGTCCCCAGGAACCAGGATCACAAGCTGCAAAACACAATACAATACAATACAATACAGAATTTAATAAATGATATAATAGAGGAGACATAATAAAGTCCATAATATTGGAGGCATCCAACAGTGCATGATCTGAGGGGTGTGATCTTGCTGTCGACCAAAACAGCAGCAAAGAGTCTGTGGACTCATGACTCTAGAAAGTCAGAAGCAATTCACACAGTGAAACATAAGCGAAGGGTTGGGGGAAGGACTCGTTGTCATGGATTTGGATGTTATCTGAAATCATTGAGTAGGACTTGTTTATTTCTTACATTGATATTCTGCCTTCTCTTCCAAGGAAAAATACTTGGAAGACACTATCCATTTTATCCTCACAACAGCCCTTTGTGGTTGGGCTGAGAGACAGTCCATGGCCCAAAGCCATCCAGTGAATTCCACAGCCAACTGGGGACTGGACTTGGGTCTTCCAAGTCCCAATCCAACACTCTAACTGCTCCACCATCCTGGCTTTCTGAGTCAACAACACAGTAAACTCATGTACTCCTGTGTAAACATGCATCTGCTTGTGTGGTGTGCAACAGTTCGAGAACATCCCTGTTGCTAGTCTTGCCGTGGAAAAATCTGTGTGGGAGGAAGTCTACAGGCAGAACAAATATTCAGACCATGCTCAGTTCCAGGGAAGGACATCATTAAAATTCATTTGCTGATCTGGGTTCTAATGTTTCCTTCTGCAATCGTGCAGCAATGCTACACAAGACTGTACTTAAAATATACAAGAAACACTCGTTTGAACTGGTTGCTAGTGGAGAACCTGTGGCTCTCCCAGTGTTATTGGACTCCAGCTCCCATCTGCCTCAGCTAGCATGGCAATTGGTCAGAGATAATGGGAGCTGACATCCAAATATCTTGAGGGCAACATATTTTGTAGGAGGCTTCTCTTTTATAGGGAAATTCAGTTCATTTTTAACAGGATTTGGCAGGCTCAATATGCCAAGTCCAAATACTTCCAAGCTTGTGATACAATTCAGAATAAAAATGCACTTGAGACGCAATAAAAATGTATACATTTGACAATGTCTGAAACCCACGTTAATCCATGGAAGAAAAAAGTGTACATTTGAAAATGTACACAATGGATGAATATGTTTAAAATGTTCATGAAAAGTCATGCAAATTTTCATAGAAAAATGAAACAGGTCCAAGTTGGAAGAAGCTTCCAGACAGAATTCAGAGAACCTTGATGCACATGTGTCTTGCCCATTTGTACTCCCCCGTTCCCTGTAAACATCCAGATGCCCATCATTTGCAATCCAAACAAGGGGTGGGGTTCGAAGGTCACCCAAGATCTAGTTTTACAACTTGGGGATTGTCTTCCAAACCAAGACACTGCAAGTCACTCAGTTCGCAGGACAAGGTTTCCCCTCCCCATAACAACATTGGGCATTAGCCCTGAACTAAGCCGTATTGAAAATGGAAAAAACCTGGGACGGGTTGCCAATCTGAATGCTGGAGGCACAGCAGAGCATGCTGCAAGAACTGGCGCTCAGTGATGGAATAAAAGTTCTCCTATCAAACCTTCTTTGCCTCACCAGTCATCACTCCCCATACTTTAGACTTAGATAATTAAGGATTATCACCAGTCAGGCTGCATAAACCCATAAATATACAATTTCAGAGGCACTAAGATTAGCAGGGGGGGAAATATATATATAGCAGAGAAGTTTAATTGCCTAAGAAGCCGCTGAGCTGATACTTGCAGATTTCGATTAGGACTGATGAGAGAGAAAGAGCAGGTGCCGATAATGGAGGGTTTGACTTGTGTTGCCTGCATTCCTGGCCCGTCCTACCCGGGGGACGCATGCAGTCACCAGTGATGGGGTTACACTGAGCACTGCTATTATAGCTGCATTGGACATGCTCAAAAGGAGATAAGCATGCAGTCCTGGCCACTTGGATATATTAACTCAAACAAAGATATCTGTGTCACATGAAGGAGGGGGGTTCTGGCCATGATCTACTTGTTTGCGAATTACCATGCTGGAAAAACCTGAAAACTCATCCACCCCAAGATCGGGCTACTTGCCCATTACTCCCACATGCATCGTCCATGAACTATGCTGCCGTACAACTCAAAATTCCCGTGGGACACTGCAGAGTTACCAGCTGCTGTAAGTATCAACTTTGCAGAGCTGGATTTTCAAACTTTTGGGCATTTGCTTTAAATGCCTCTCTTAGCCTCTGTACTGAGCACAATTTTAGCAGCTGCAGGTACTTAAGAAGCAAGTGAATCCTGTGCAGAGCAAAAAAAAACCTGCTCCAGACAAGGCAGGTTATTTCAAAATTGAAAGATGTGCAGCCCAGTCCTAAACTCAACTACCCAGAAGTTAAGACCCACTGAATTTAATGAAGCTGCTGATGTTTCCTCTTCTTTGTCTTCTTCTTCTTGCCACCACTACTACAACATTTATATCCTAGCATCTTCCCTCTTGCAAGGATCTCAAGGTGGCTTACATGGGACTCTTCATATGCTAACAACAACCCTGAGAGGCAGGCTAGGCTAAGAGACAGTGACAGGCTCCATGAGGTTCATGGCCATTATTGCCATGGCATTAGCATTAAGTCTCCTGAGCGCCAGGTCCAACATTTTAACGGCTAGGCCACACTGGCTCTTAGGGAAGTACCAGGGGGACAACGAATTGCAAAGCACTGAGAGAAGGGCACAATTCATCTCTCCCTCTTGCAGCAGCTGCTTCTCACCTCCTCCCCATCCCAGCAAGAAGCTTGGACTTGTTTGCATCTGGATAAAAATGGCTGTGCAGGGGATGGTGGAGGGGCAAGTGACTTGGGTCTGCTGCTGAGCATCTGGTGAGATCCTTAACCTTCTCTGGAACACAGTTCACTAAAAAGAACTGAACCACCTTCAGAAGCCATGTTACAGTCAGGAAAATCCTTTCTGGAAATGTCTTCCTTGGTTTTTTGCAGTGCCTCATTCTGAACACTAGCAGGAGGTCAGCAGAAGTCCCCAGATCTATGTCTGGAGAGGACTACTAATTTTCCAAAAACTTTCCATGTGTTGACAGAGAAGGAAGACCCACCGACTATTCCTTAGTAAATATGCATAGTACTGCAGATTCTCAGAGGAACCATTGAATGGAACATAAGACACTGATCCTCCTTGAAGGCCAGAGATGGTACTCCAGCCTTGAGGCAGGAGTCCCCCCTCTGTCCTCCTTCCCAGCCAGGTGGAAAGAAGCACACCGGCTGCCCTCGTCAGAGAAGGGGAGAAGAGGGGGTGAATGCCATGCTGCGGCCCCCACCGCTACTCCGCTATATGAGCAAAAAGCCCTGCCCCTGACTTTGCTTCTGAAGTTTTCTGCTATAGGTCCCTTCAGCACAACCAGCTGGCAGGGTGATGTAACACATTTGCATGTCACAAACTTACACAAGAACTGGGGCACAGTTATATGGCAACAATCACACTTTTGGGGATTTTGCAGGGCAGTTGCCAAATGTAAAATGTGTGCAAAGGTGCCTATATTACGTAAAGTATGTACAGCAATGTTTTATTCTGTGTGAAAACTGGTCAGGAAACTATATTTGGAAAAGCAAATATTTCAAAACTGAAAACTGTACACAAGAGTTCTGCATATCTTGATGAAGGCACAGAAAATGCTTTGGCGAATGGGGCGGCATAGGTGAATGCGGAGGCTTCGGCGAATGGGGCGGCATAGAAGTTCCCTAAATGAATGAATGAATGAATGAATGAATGAATGAACATTTTGTGTAGACTTGAAAAAAAAAAATTCCAAATGATGTAAAAATGGAATGGAATTAACAATGCAGAAGAAATTAGTAAATGCATAAAATCAAGCTTGGAAGAATCATTCATCCCTGTTAGGTCCCACAGCACAATCGGACATCAAACATTTTCTATTTCCATTATTATTATTCCTTTGCTCTCTGGTTTTCCAAAGTGACTGCAGCATGTCCTGGCCAACAGAAAAACTCACTGTTTTCATTTATCACTCATCAAGAACAAAGACATTAAAAAGAAGTGAGAATGTCAGCCATACCCAAAAAAGGGAGAGAAGCCTGAATTGGGTGATGTTTTATTTTACTGATACATTTCTTGGAGCAAATAAATATACTATGTGCTCTCTGTCCTTCACACAACACCCAAAAGGCTTACAAAGCCAATTAAAAAACAAATTAATCCATATGACCATACATCACAATAAAAACAGTAATGCCTTAATTCCAGTTACAAGCAACCAAGCCTTTAGAAAATACCAAAAAGAAAAACATCTTTTGAAAAGCTAAAGTTTGTACCTAGTGGTTGCGAAAACCATCAGAAAAAAGGCTGACAGCTTGCAACTAGCGGATGCTTACCATAATGTGAATGGATGTGGAATGGCACACGCTAGCGATACTTGCAGAATTTAATCCTGATAAATTCCAGCATGAACTGACCTAATGTATTTTCACACTTAGGTTCCAGCTTATTTCTTTGCTTAAGAAATTGACTCGAAATGCATTTACAAACTCATTTTGAGAGATGATAGAGTGTTTTAAGAAGAAAGAAGGCATTTTAAATACCGTTTTGTCACATGGCTGAAATGCTGGTGTTGTACTACATTCCTGAGACAGAAGGCTGCTGGCCGGGCCTGTGCCATAACGCCTTTCCCAAGGGAATTCTGCCCCAGAAATGTGATGCCATTTCACTCGCAGAACATTCTGACAGCCAGAGTGTTCACTGCAGACAAGACCACCCATTCCCCATAAAATGAACGAACGGACAAATGAAGGAACGTGGTTCACTATTTGCACGAAAGACTTTTTCCAAATCCTTAGATGTTTACCCTCCTTCCCCAAAGGTCACCAAATAGCTCCTCTCCCACTTTCTCAGGGGATGACTGGTCCCAGGGAAGCCAGATATATTTGGACCCACCCTTTCTCCCTCGTGCTCGCTCGCTCGCTCGCTCGCTCGCTCTCTCTCTCTCTCTCTCTCTCTCTCTCTCTCTCTCGCTGTGTGTGTGTGCATGTGTGTCTGCCATGCAAACACAATACTCATGTAGAACCAGGTCACCTTCTGTTGGATCAGGGTCACTGAGAGGCATTCTACTTGTTTCTCATGAAAGCCAAACTTTTCCAGAAGCAAAGCCAAACAACAAAGTCAGACGATATGGATAGAATACAGATTGCAGGATGAATGAATAACACTGGGGAGAAACCAATCGTTCTAGGTAGCAAGATGCAGACCTTTTTGACACCTGCTTCCTTCGTAGCCGGGCTTGCACAGGCAACTGCCATTTCTGGGATCACAGCCGAGGGAGTTCTCCTTCAGACACTGGCACTCCTCCGAACAGCCAGCTCCAAAGACCCATTTGGGACAGGCTACAGCAGTTGAAAGGGAATGGAGAACAGGATGTCAAAAGTTGCTGTTTAGTTGCAAAGTCATGCCTGGCTCTTCATGATCCCATGGACAACACTCCTCCAGGTTCTCCTGTCCTCCAGCCCCCTCCCCCGGAGTCCACCCAAGCCCACACCCACCACCCCAGTGACCCCATCTAACCATCTCAACCCCTGCCATCCCCTTCTCCTTTTGCCTTCAATAATTCCCAGCATCAGGGTCTTTTTCAATGAGTCCTTCCTTCTCATTAGGTGGCCAAAGTATTGGAGCTTCAGCTTTAGTACCTGACCTTCTAAAGAGCAGTGAGAGTTGATTTCCTTTAGGATTGACTGATTTGATCTCTGTGTCAAAAGTAGGCCAAGAAAACTCAGAAAAAAGAAGTATTTGAATTGGTTTTTTCTTCCCATTAAAAAGAACTTAGTAAATGAATTGTATGAAGTTTAGGGTGCAATTTTATGGAACTTTAGACAAGAAAAACATAGAAACATAGAAACAGAGCGAGTCAGAAGGGGTCTCCCGGGCCATCTAATCTGACCTCCGGCACCAGCCAGCTCCGCTCACAACATGCCCGCCATGTACATGTCCACCCTATACTTTTTCCTTGTCTAAACATGCATAGGATTGCACCATTAGGGTGCAATTCTATCTCTCCACCATTGACATATGTAAACCTCTGAGCTTAGGTGCTTCCTATGCGTGGCCCAAGGAAGGCACCGCAGTGTCAATCAATGCCTTGATTTTTCTCTAGGCAGCTTTTTCAGCTGTCCAGGTAAAGCACCATGGAGGGGGAAAGAAGGCAGCTAGGATGCTGGCAGGATCTGGTTTACGTGCTCAGCTCCAGCCTTTCCCCTTCCCACCCCCTTTTTCCTACCTAGGGTCCATCTGCAGCATCTGGGGAAGCAAAAGGTACCGTTATTTCTCTATCAGTTGCAAGGGACTTCAGAACTGGTGCCCTGGATAATCCTGTGGCTGGCCTGATAACATCAGGATGCCACTGGCTTGCATCCTTGGAAGTAGTTTAGGAAATGTCTGCATCATTTCTTTTTAGATGGTGACCTCACATGTTTCATCAGACACCATCCTGTACTGGGACTCAGCCTCTGCTGAGGTGACACCTACCAGCTGCTGATTTTCTAAAGAATTATTTTTATACACGCACATGGATTCTTCTAAAAGATCTGCAGTCTGATTAATTGGGAGGGTTGACCCTGATTGATGCTTCAAGCCAATCCAAAGATTCCAGTTGATTCATCAGATTCCAAAGGTATCTTTTAAAGTAAGCTTGTACAAACTGATTGACTGACCCACCCTCCCCACCCTGTTTTTTTCTACTCTTTTAAGTAGAAAAGAGAAGAAAAAGCAAGTAAGTGTCTATCCCTACAGCTATCCAGAATCCTGCTTTCCATGCATTTTACGCAGCACTGTCTTCTAAAATCAGAGTTGTAAGTTGCTCTGACTACCATTCCTCGGACAGGAATGGTAGTCAGGCTGAAATGGGGTAATAAGGAAAATCCATGCAGCTCTGTTTGCTAGAACATTTGGCAAGACTTGCAATAGACCTTTGAGGCCAGAAGTGTCACTCTGGAGGGCAACCCATGTGCCTTGACTCACTTAGATGGCAGAAGCGACCGTACAGCCCTGGGTCACACAGGCAGGCTCCATACAGTCTGTGGCAGTATCCACCATTGATGCAATTACATTTCTTGCGACAGTGCTTCCCGTAAAGTCCTCTGGGGCAGCCTGGTGGTTACATGACAAAAAGAAGCTGGGCAGTGCAAAAACAATCTGCACCCCCCACCCCGACTGACCGCATGGAGCAGCACAATGGGGAAGAGTCTGCAGACTGCAAAGACTCTTCTCTGCCTTCCCATGCATGCTTATTCCCATGGCTTCTCAGCATGCAGAAAGATATCTGATGGCACCCAAATGGCATTCTTTGATGCCCAGGAGAGAACCCAAGAATACTGCGGCAGCGGGGAGGGGTCAAACCTCAGGCTCACAACCCAAAGCCAGCCTGCCTGGGGTCCCCATGCAGCCTTCCAGCTCCTCAAGCAGCCCACTCCCCTAAAAGGACGAAATGCCCCTCCTAAGGTTTAGTTCCTGCAAGAAGAGGTTTAAGCCCCATTAAGTTGGTATTTTGGGAATTTTGGTCCTACGTCTTCTGTGTTTGAGCCCCGATTAGCACTGGAATGAGATCCCCTTAGGGCATCCCAGAAACAGAAATGGGCTCTTGGGCTGCAAGGGCTTTGATAACCCTGCTCTGGAAATCAATGCGCACACTGGGAACTAAGAGACGTGGAATTTCTGCTTGCTTCCGGCTTTCAGGGTTACTGATGCTCATGACTCGTGTAGCCCCTTATTCCGTGCCACTTGCCCTCCGACAGTGGTGGGATGTGATGGCAGGGAGGGCTCCTGGTACAGCAGGGACAAGAAAACCTAAGACTCAAGAGGATCTTTTGCCCCAAAGAAACTGGATCTGAGACCTATCATCTCTGGAAATTCAGTCGTGTGTCTGCTTGCCTTCTCTTTCAGTGTTTGCCCCATCACTTCTGGGTGCCAGATGGACTATTGATTATTATACCTGACCTGTGTTTTTACACTGCCCTCCCATGCCAATTAAGAAGGCAATGCCAGCACCACAAGCAATCATGAAGGCGCCTGCTGGAAATGGTGCGAAACAGAATAACACCATCCTTACCATCTTCGCAAAACTTTCCATTAATCCCTGGTGGGCAATGGCACCGCCCTGTTGCAGGGTCACAGGCGCCTCCGTTCAGGCACTTGCAAAGGCTGCTGCAATCTTGTCCATACGTCCCTGTGGAGCAGGCTGCAAAGAGAGCATGCAAGATGAACGAACAAAGCAATCTCGTAACTACACTAGGGATGGAGAGAAATTACCCTTCGGCTGTCATACTGGAATAAGGCAAAGCGATCCAACTGAAGAGAAAAGCAAACACTCCTACTGTTGGGAATGAGAGGGGCAGTTGTTCTTGGAACACGCTCCTGGGTCACACTGATGTAGACTGTGTCAGAGGAAGAAGTGGAGCAGACAGAGAGGGACTGGGAATTTGGGGCTTCAGAATTTTAGATGGGAGAAGCCAAGGCGCTTCTCTCAAGGTTATCTGTCCAGGTGCCAAGGTAAGCTCTGAGGAAAACCAAGTGCATAACTGTTGGGAGAGGGCCTGGGAGAGGAGTTCTCAGAGGCAGATGAACCGGGTATGACTCTTGATCCCATGGTATACAGAGAAAAAGTGTGCTCATGTCCTTGGCTGCCTCATCTACGTGGAAAAGGTTCCTTAAGGCAAATCTCCACGATTCAGTGGTGTAATAGGTAAGATATCTGGAACTGGGGAAACTTGGATTCCGTTCCCCACTCAACAACAAGGGGAAGGAGACCTCATGTCCCTGAGCCTAGCCTCCTTCGCAGGGCTGTTGAGGGGATTAAATGGGATCAGCTCATTGTTTCCTGCCTCCAGCTTCCTAGCCAAAGAAACGAACATGAAATTCAAGAAATAAAATATCAGAATTACCATCCTCTCATAAATATGCTGGTTCACCAAACTCTTGTAAGAGCTGGCCAGATGGCAATGAAGTTGATTCCTTGGGTCCTCTGGGCAGTTCCAAAGGACTTTTTGATCCATCAAGCCAAAGCAGCCAACCCAAAGGGCTAGATGGGTTTAAGGGAAACAATCATCCTGAGAAGCACTAAAACAACCCACTTGTGGCCCTCCAGGAGTTGTGGCTTACATCTCCCATCAGTTCTAGGTGAAGGATGATAGGAGTTGCGAGTAAAACATCTCAAAGGCCAGAAGTTGCCTGCCCTGCACTAACAGTTGCATACTTGGCTCATGTTGGTCATTAAATGGACAAAGTGGGTCACTCCATCCATTCGTTCATATCATTTACTTTCCACAACGTAGCTAGCAAAACTACTCAGGCCAGGGCTCATACTTACCTTGATCTCACATCTGGAACTCCTAAGAATGAGCCCTGTGCTGCTCTTCTTGCAGCCAGCATGGAAAGAGCTGTGCCAGCTGGGCCTCGGGGAACGAAGGGAAGCAGAGGCTGCCACCCTTTGCTGGTGCTTTATCTGGATGACTGCAAACAGCCATCCTGATGAATACTCTGCACAAGGTGCAGAGAGGTTGCCAACACTGGGCCTTCTTCCAGGCCCAGGATACACATAAGCCTTTGAGACTGGAGGCTTACATGCATCAAGGCCATGGATTGCGCATTAAGTTTATGCTATTATGGAAGAAGGCTCAAAAGCCTCAGCGCTCACTTTCATTGCAGATTATGCCAGTCCATCCAGGTGGGCAGCTGCAGCCGGTGTTCTCACTGTTGCACTCCCCTCCATTCATGCAGTCAGAACAACTTAAGCTGCAGTCATTTCCAAACATATTATCCAGGCACGCTGAAACAAAAAGGCACAGGAGTCAACCTGTACTCAGGCGTATCTGCCTCTATGCATGTTGTACATGCCTACAGCAAGTAACTGCTTACGACAGAGCAAAATCCGGCACAGAAACAGAACCCGGGCAAGGCTAGGGAAGCTTGCGGATTTTCTTTGGTCTGTATTTGGAAGCAAATCAGCCTGATCCAGATTTCCACAACTACGGCATACATTGGAATGAGGTTCTGACTTTGCTCTTCTCTGAATTTTCTAATGCATGCATTTCTTTACACACACCGATACAAGTCTTAAATTGTTTGCTTTGAGGGGACATGCATTCCTAAAAGCATGTTTTATAGTAAAATACATCCAAAAGTATGTGTTTAAATCCATTTTGGTGCATTTTTAGATTAAAAACCCTTAATGCAGAAACAAGACAGAATTAGACTTATACATGAACGCACATGAACAAACATTAATGTGGAAATACAAAGAAGTATTAATGTGCAAAGGGGATGGAGTGGACTTAGGAATGACGCATGTAGTGAGGACATGGCCTGGACAGAGACTGATCTGTCCATCTCCTGGTGGGGCTGTGCAGATAAGCAACACTGGTTTCCTCTGAACTCTATGCAACACAATACATGGAATACAGACGGGGTCCGAGAGGTCTGTTTTGAGACCCCTGCTTTCCAGCTGGTATATAAATAATCTGAAACTGAGCAGTGAAGTGGCCATGTCTGCTGATGGCATCATTTTCTCCAGGTTGCCTAAAGGAAGGTTGTTGTGTCAGGACTCTAAAAAGGACCTCTCTAAACTGCAAGAACGGGCATCAAAATGGCAAATGTGGGTCAAGACAAGCAAGTGTAAAGTAATGCAAATTAGGACACTGCCCCCTCCCATTTCACATAGAAGCTAATGGGGTCTGAGCTAATGGTGAATGATCAAGACACAGATCTTGGGGCTCTGATGGACAGGGCAATGAAAATGTCGATCCAGTGTGCAGTTGCTGTGAAGAAGGAATAATTAGGAAAGGAATTGAAAATAAAACTGCCAATATCCTCCTGCCCTTACACAAATCTATGGTGCAGCCGCACTGGCATACAGTTATGGTCATTGCACCTAAAAAAGGATACTGCAGAGTTGGAAAAGAGGCAGAAAGGGGTACTAAAGGATAGGAAAAGGGATCGAGGGGTTGGGGCAGCTCCCCAAAAGGAAAGGCTGTAATAGTGGGGGTGCTTAGCTTTGAAAAAAGGCAGTAAGAAGAGTACAATAATAGAAGAGTACAAAATTATGCACGGTGAAGAGAAAATTAATAAGGAGACATTTTTCTCCCTCTCTCACAGTATTAGCACCCAGGTTCATCTAATGAAGCTGGTTGGTAAGAGATTCAGGGCAGATAAAAGGAAGTACTTTCCCCATAAAGTCCAACTTTGGAATTCAAGTGGCACAAGAGGTAGTGATGTCCACCCACCTGGGAGGCTTTAAAAAGAGGTTCCACAAATTCAGGTAGGAGAAAGCCATCGAGGTCTACTGATCCTGATGGCGTTGTGCCGTCTCCAGGATCAGAGTCAGAATGCCCATCTATACCAGGTGCTGGGGAACATGAGCAGGAAGTCTTTGTGCTGTGCAGGAATGTCCTACTGAGCGGTTCCTGTAGGATTTCCACAGCCAGCTCAGTTGATTGGCCGCTGCATGAACAGAATGCTAGACTAGATGGGCCCTTAGTTTGATCTAGCAGGGCTCTTTTTCCCAGCACCTTGTCCCACTAATTAAGGCTCCCTTCTTCTCCCACATACAACATGTCTCCAACGTTCACCTAGTCATGTAGTTCCCAGTCCCTGGCCCAGTTCAAATGTTACGGGAAACCATGATTTGTACAAGATTCAGACTGTCCCTCTTTCTCCAGTTGCTTCACAGTGATAGGTCATGATTGTAAACATACCACTGTTTTACTGCAATATCCATTCTTGGAGAATTCTGGTTTGTTTTGTTAGTGAACAAAGCAGGATCTGAAATCATAGCTTGATCCTGGTTTGTTGTTTTCTCACTAACTAGAGTTTAAATAAGCCACAGTTTCCTGAGTTGGGATGTCAAGAGAAATATCATTCAAGTATGCTTGTTCATATAGCAGGAAGCCATGCTTTTTCATTATAGCTGAACTGGGCCCCCATGACTGCCTATTTTGATTATTAGTCCTCTATGGTCAAGTTTTTCACAGCCAAGAAGCTTCTTAGTCATTCTGCCTTTTTGCAGCCTCTCCAGGCACCACTTGTTTGCTTGCCTGCCTACTTTCCTTTCACTTAAACAAACTTGCTGTTAAGGTCTCCACCTACCTCAACACCAATTTACACTTGAAAGATATCTGCAGGACATGTCTTATTCCTTGGCTGTCATATAGGTATTAGGAATGTTATGGATTGCTCTTTTGCTGTGAGTAAAACAGCCTCACCTTGCTAATAGCAGCTTCCTCTTTATTTCATTCTCTTTCCAAAGAATTTCTTCCTGACAGAGCCGTTCCTTCACATCATGGAAATATGTCACCGCAAAAGCTCTGCTTTCTATTGGAGCTTACATTTCACCCCATGGAAATTCCATGCATGCTCACTGTTAAAAAGCATTCCCTCACCAACTTTGTGCATAAGAGTGAGTTCTCCACGGAGATCTTCTTCCTGATCATCATAGAAGGAATCTAGTGAAGTACTGAAATGAAGGAAATCAGGTGGTCTTCTAAAGCGAAGATCAGGAAGCTTGGCAATCTCCAGTTTTTCTTCTTTCAGTTCATCATCATCCAAGGCTGAGATCAAAAACACAATCTTTAAAATTTAATCTTAAGCACTACCCTTTCATGCATAGAAAAATGACATATGCCTTATTCAGGCATTCAGTTTCTCTTCTAAATGCAGAGGGGAGAGAGAGCAGGAATATGCTAGCTGGCCAGGTCTTCTCCATAGATAGCATCTGAATCAACCTCAAGTCCAAAGGTGTCTACTGCACTCATCTAGCATTTTGTACAATTAGGAACTGCAGAGATGAGGTTTTGATGGTGAAACTGGAGCTAAGTAGCACGTCCCTGTTCTCCCACATTACAGGAGCACTTACATCTCCAAACAAGACTATTATCAAAATCTTAATCCAAACTTGCAATCTACAAACTTAACAGAAAGCAGGGGAGAAAAGTTATCTCAAACTCTTGAGATCACACAGATGAAAAAACAGCCCCCAGATGTGGCATCTCAACTTCGGAATGTTGGCGGTTTAGCTGTCTGCATCATCCTCCAAGGGCAAAGAAAAATTCACCATGTAGGTGAAAAAGTTTGGTGGAAAAGAGCGTATCCAAGCTCCAACAACTGTATAGGTAAATATGAAATGAAGCTGTTCCTTACATCGAACTACTTTTCCTGTAGCTTTGGTTTTATTCTGATGCTGTTTAAACTAACCCTATATTTTTCTAGTGTCTCCCTGCTCATTGTTTTTTTCACTTGCTCACTTAGGTGAGAGATTGGGAACATTCTGTGAGCTACTGTGTTCCTTTCTTCCTTTCTTCCCTCTCTTTCATTTTTGGAACTAACCATAGTCAGCATTACAGATGCTCTTCAAACTGTGGTTTAGAGCAAAGTATATCGTACCATGGTTAGGTCTAAAAAGGAGAGATGGCACATTTGCACATCAAATGGAAAGTCAGAAGGGAGAAGAAAGCTGAGAGACATTCCTAGGGCATGTCTACAAAAGGTATTTATCCTGGTGCCTCACCAAAGCTGTACCTTCTCTTCTCTTGGTGGGAGGAACAAAATGTCCTTGTGGGTTTTTGCTGTGCTGTTTCTATCTCTGCTTTCATATAAGATCTATTACACAACCACAAAGGGCTATTGTGGTATACTACAATTGTTGAAATAAAATGGATGAATTTTAGCACAATAACTAAGCAATAACTGATTGTACTTGGAAGGCTGTAAAACACAGACGGGATCCTGGAGGATAACAATTGCATGTAAAACCCCCACAAACCACAGCGGTTAAAGCACACAATTAGCATACAATTAATGCCTATGATAGAGAAAGTCCTAATCTTCTAACCATCATTAGGAGATTAGGTAGTGTTATGTCTGCACAAGCCCACAGTTGTCTTTTAACTTGCTATTAGCAAGGCAACGGGCCCAGAGTGTAGTCTGAAGGCACATAATGCATCCACCATGTTGAAGCTAAAAAGTCTGGGGCTGGCCTGAGCTTGGAGGGGAGACCACCTGGGAACGGCATGTAGCCACTTTGAGTTCCACTATGGGAAGAAGGTGGGATATAAATAAATACCATTAGCTTTTTATGTAGTTCTCTTGAACTATGCATCTGAAGTGACATCAACACTGTTTGAGATACCAAAGCAGCCCATGCTTTCTGCACCGTTTGCTCCATGCTTCTGATGCAGCCTTTCAAGTGCGTTGCTCAGTGCTTGAGATCCTGGAATATTTTCCATGGCACTCGCACCCATCTGCACGGAGCCAGAACCCTGCCCTGCAGCTGCACTCATAGCCTCCGATGTAGTCGATGCAGGCCTGTGAGCAGCAGGCATCTCCCGCCTCACATTCATCCAAGTCTACAGCAAGAACAAACAATTTCTCCAGAAACCCGCTGAACAACGAAAGCAAGAAAAAAGGATCCATTCAGGAAAAATGAGGCAAGAAAAACTCAGACACAACAGATGAGGTCTAAGAGGATGTTCGGAAAATCTAGTGGATGATAAATTTTTATCATGGAGGAAGTAAGAGCTTGTGTGGTAGCTAAGAACATGATGGTTTAATGAGAAACCCCCCATTTCTCATCTAACTTCTGCCACCACACAAACATTTTAGGGAAACACAGCACCCATATAACTCTTACCCTCAAACCCTTATCTGCATTATGGAATTAATGAAGATAATGTTGTATTTTATCCGAGCCGTCTTCCAGGGAGATCAAGACCAAATACACAGAACTGGAAGGGATCTCAGTGGTAATCTAGTCCAATTCATGAAAGAGATGAAAGAAATCTGATGCTGTGTGCAGAATCTCTAATGCGTGGCTGGATGGCCTCTGCTTAAAATCTTCTTCTTAATGGAAGAGGGCCTACCATTTTCCAAGCTGGCAGTTCTACTGCTGAACAAGTCACACCATCTCAACATTCTTCCAAATATTTAGTCCAAATCCCCTATCTTATAATTTGAACCCACTGGTTAAGACCTACTCTCTGAAACATGATTCCAACATGCATATTTTGTGAGTGAACTTAGAGTAAAAGAATATGGACAGAGAAGAAAAAAAATGTTCCGATCTCTCAGTAAGCTCCACAGCTCAGCAAGGAGTTGTACTTAAATATCGTTGGTTTAGGAATAGTATTGCATCCACTATACCACTTTGATTCTTCTGAGCTTTTTTATAAGACTGTTTTATGGAAGACAAAGGTAATATATGTGAAACACTTTTAACATTCTCAAGTCTTATATAAAAGCCAAGTATTTTTGATGTATTACCAGGAGCAGACAATGCAACCCACCCCCCCAAAACCCTTTGCTATAAATTGAATTAATTTAACATGAATTATTTTGACAATTTAGCTTGTAAAAATCCTTTCTGCAAATTATCAAATAGAATATAACCACATAATTCTTTTGGCAAAATCTTTTTATATGAAAACACTGTTTTTTAAAGGCAGTGGCATCTTCTTTTTAAAGTAAAGCAAATTTTTGACAGCTCAAACACCACTACTGGAATTGCACATGCCCTAAAACTGCTGACCCCTTGTAAGATGAAACAAGGGAAAAAACAAACAAAAACCCCGCAGTACAGGTTGAACTAAGATGATTGGCTATCCAAAGGATGATCGGTCAAAGCTGAGTCTGCAAAATTCCTCAAACAAAGCAACAAGAAAAGACAAAGGTCAGAATGGCAATTAACCTTGGAAAGGGTGCTAACATTATTAGTGGATATAGTCAACCAAGGAAGGGGAGGTGAAGTATAATCAATCAGTTGAGGTTAGAGGCCAGTGTGACATTGATTAATGCTGGTTATTGGAACCAGAAATGTTGCTTTTCCTGCAAATATCACAAAAAGCTGGCAGAAATTATTTCAGGTCATATTGGAAGATGCTGTTCTCGTCATAATCACTTCTCCGAAAGATCCATTAGGGAATTCCTTTCTCCTTTGCATAATGAGATTTAACTTCTCTTGGTAGCTGTAAGCTCCTCGGGACAGAGGACTGTCCTCTTAAATTATTATTTTTATGCCAGTCATTTGTTTATCTCCATATTCATTTCAAATTATTTAGTTCAAATTTCCCTAGTACTGTGCGCATTGATGGTGCTGTATAAGCAAGCAAAAACAGTGTTTGCCTTTTCTATCATCTTTTCTCACCAAAGTCAGCCATGTATAGATTCAGACAAATAATTATTCTAACAAACATTGACTAAACTAATCCATATGAAGCACCCTGTATTCTCTAAAATATGTTAATACTGCAGCTTTTGGCTGGGAGCTCATCTTCCCATCTTGGAAGCAAAGAAGGCAAGACTCACTGGAGAAGACAGTAATGCTGGGGAAAGTCAAAGGCAGAAAAAGAAGATCTCATGAGGTGAATGGACTCCATCAAGTTTACAAGCGCTGAGCAAGCTTTCAAGACCAGGATACTTTGGAAGGCATTCATTCATAGGGTTGCCACAAGTTTGAGATGACTTGATTGCACCTAACTACCAGTTCTGATTGTTTTATTGCTTCAAGTGTAAAGTATCACATTTATAAGCAAGCAAGTCTCCATGGCTCTGTTAAATTGACTGTTTGATAATGAGCTAGGACAGAGGAAAAAACAAAACCACAGCAATTACAAAGTGGGGTTCATTACTAGTTTCTAACATAACCATAAGGATCAATTCCTGTATTTCTATCATCTGGCTATACAGGCTGCAACATTTGGAGTGGAGTGAACAGGCTTGGACGTAAGGGACATGGATCTGAATCCCCTTCTTGACTATGAGGATCGCTGGCACACCCTGAGCCAAGGACAAGCCCTTAAGTGTGCCCAGTAGGGTGACAAAAGTCCTTTTTAGTCTGAGAAAACACTGTTTTGCTGTTGAAATTCAGCAGCAAATTGCTCCACGGAGCCACAGGAAGGTTTAACAATTGAATTTAGATCTTGGACACTTTGGGTGTTCTGTAGACACGGATACTATGTTTTCTTAAAGAAAAAATAAATGATTTTGGAGCATGTCTCAAGGTTGCAGTGGCATGGGCCACATGCAGTCTCTGGGACAAGGACTGCATTTTTCTTGCTGTAATCTTTTTGCTTGGGAAGGCTTTCTTTTATTCTTGTCTCTCTAAACCCCACCTTGAGTGGGGCCTTTGTGGGGAGTGGCTTAGTGCCTTTGATTGATGATTGATTTATTGCATCATATTGCATCTTCTCTTCTATTGATATGCTTCTATTGCCTTCTTTGGAGGCCATTCACCCAAAAAGTTGTGGGGAGGGAGGGAGAGAGAGAGAATATCTACAGGTATCTGTATCTGTATCTTATATATCCATATCCTAGCAGCTGCTATTAACTATTTATTAAGTTAGGGTGATATCTCATTATTTACCCATCTAAAAATATAGTGGAGTGCTCTCTCATAGATAGATAGATAGATAGATAGATAGATAGATAGATAGATATTACTGTGAATATAAATTGGCATCCGTACCACCATATTCATCACCCTGAAGGGCAGGTTAGAGATTTGCAGAAGAGCTGGGAGAGAACTGCTATCAGAGAGTGAGGACAGAGGATTCCAAGGAGATTTTTGGCAAGGAAAAATTGAGAGGGAAATGACCCATTTGGAGGGAAACTGTGTGAAAGGAAGGCCAAGGCGGCGGCGGCGGCAGCTGTCCACCTTGCCTTCACCCGGCTCTCACCATCTTCATCAAGTTGCTGCCTCCATTAACAAAAACTGGCTGAGGGGAAAAGCATCTGGAGAGACTGACTGTGAGGCTGTAAGCTGAAGCCACAGATGGTTCTATACCTGACCCCGTCTCACTCCTGTTTGCTTTAAAAACTCGAATCTGCTGTCTTTAAACCCTATAATTAGGGAAGTTCAATATTTAATCACATGCAACTGCAACTTTCTTGCCTAATTTGACAACAAGGGCCTAATTGCCATCTTGAGGGAAAAGAGCAGCTCAGTATCTACTAAAGTAGACGGACTCAATACCCTCTGGTGGGTACTTATGTCTTCACTTATTCAAGAGGGGGGAATTGAGAAGCATAAGGCACACTCAGGCCAAAGCAAACATTACTTCAAACATGAGTCTAGGAATGACTTCTTCGTGCCCATATTTTACTCTCAAGTAGGTGCTGGAGATCACATTTGGATCATGATCTGAACATGAAGAGTAGGGGGTGTGGCACCAATTATTGATTAAAAATCAAAAGGAGCTAAAGCTGCTAGGCACACATTTACAGCACCATGTGCATCAGCCATGCACATCTCTCTCTCTCTCTCTGTGTTATTCCTCTCAATGCTTTCATGTTAATGCACACTATTCTTTTACCTTTATGCACCTCCAATTTATTTACAGAGTTACATATTTTATTTCTATCCTTCCTTTCTTTCTGCAAGGAACCCTAGGCAGCAGATAAAAGCCTCGGCCTCTCCTTTTTGTCCTTGGCTGAACATTGATTTAAAGGATGAGCATGGGAACGTCAAAAGAGGGTCTCTGGGTTTGAGGACAGATAGTCTGGCTTATTACCCTTTGCATAGTGCTGTATCTGTGTACGTAAGGCCAACATCTCCTTCAAAGAGGTCTATATTTGTCCATACATCACCTTTACATGTCTTCCCATCAGAATTCAAGAGGTAACCTTGGTTACAGGAGCAGACTGGTCCACTGGAGGAGTGCTCACAGTGATGAAAACAGCCTCCATTGTTGTCCTCACAGCTGTTGACAATTTCCATTTCAATACCTTTCAGGAAAAGGATCACAACGCAAAGATGAGAATTTGCAAGAAACCGTCCTGGTACTCTTGTTTAGGGTTGCCAGTGTCTTCAAGAATGCTCCATTCCATTCTTTTATCCCCATCCCAGGTCACTCAGCTTTCAATCTTTCCCTACCAAAACCAATAATCATGCCAGGTCCCCCTTGGTCTGTTTTGTCTTTCCTTCTTCCTTTAGAGTTTTTCATGCTAAAGACTTTTGGTACTTCTACAAATGTTGCCTGCTGTTGTATGTTGGATGGTGCTTTTTAGGCTACATATGGATCTCAGGATGTCATGAAGCAGAACCTGCTTTAACATATATATTCAATTTACAAATAGAAATTGAATTGAACTGAAAAGCTTTCAGAGTGACATACTAGAAACAAACCCAGTAATAGACCTGGTAACAACAGAATGTAAAAAATGAAAAAGTAACATAATTAATTTGAACTATAATTTAAAAACAGGAGATAAATAAGAAAGCAGTTAATTCATGAAGAAGGGTTTTTAAATGCCACTTTAAAAGTATCATTAAAAATAAAGCAAGTAGCAGCTAAAATGTTTTAAAACCCGAGAGAGTAAAAAAGGATTTTACTGGATGGCAGAAAGTCAACAAAGTAGGCCCTGAATAGACCTTCATCTTCTCCTCCAAAAGAGAGGAGTTACAGCATATGTGGCTTTTTCTATCCTCAGGCTGCAGTGGAAAAAGAAGTCAGATCTAGCAAAAATTTTCCTTCTGTACTACCCATAAAGATACAGGAGCCTTCTAAAGACTGGATCAAGAGAACCTGAAGCAAAAGTGACCCACAATAATTATACAGCTGAGAATGGAACTGGAATTGTTCCCTTCTGCACAAACATCCCCTAAATAATGCATTCATCTCTGCTTTGCAATCTATTTCCCTTCAGTTTTCTTCTGGTAAAAATATTTTCCCTCCTATCTGATTAACTGTGGCCTAAATTATTTCCCTCTTCATCAAGGAAGATCCAGATGGCAGTTCTGAAAGGGACAGATGTTAATTCTACAGCCTTCACAATCCGTATGCAGAGAGCCCTCCAATTCACCTGGTTTCCTACTGATTCTGCTCATTCACACTGAAGGCTGTGCCATGGATAAGACCAGCAAGGTATGTGCTCTCCCTTAGAGTAGCACTGCATTAGGTTCCAAATTTTGTGAATGTTGATCCAAGCTCTAAAGCAACACAGCAATTGTAAACCATAACATAAGTGGCTGCCATTTTGTGAAAGGCTGTCACAAAAAGGAAGGTCAAGATCTCTTCTTGTTGATGCCAGATGTAGGACATAGAAACACAGAAACAGAGTGAGTCAGAAGGGTTCTCTTGGGCCATCTAATCTGACCCCCGGCTCCAGCCAGCTCTGGTCATGACATGCCTACCATGTGCATGTCTAACCCATCCTTGAACACGCTCACCAATGGGGCCTCAACCACCTCCCATGGAAACCTATTCCATACCCTCGGGCTATACATGCACCTCAACTCCTTCCCACCGCTTCCTTTCTTTGGAGTCTTCCCTGATACCTGGCCTCTCTTTGTAGGAGTCCTGTCAGTCACTGCAGTACCTCTAAAACCCTGCTCCCAGAACCCTGATCCTCTCCCCACACTTGTCCAGTGCAGACAAGTTTCTGGGGGGTCTGAACCTGCCCCCGCCCCCAGCTCAGTTTAAAGTCTTCTGGACAAAGTTTGCTAGAGCATCTCCAAAGGACCTTTTCCCCATCCTCGTGAGGTGCAACCCGTCCCTTGCCAGAAGTCCATTGGCAAGAAACCGGGTGCCATGGTCGAGGAACCCAAAGTGTTCCTTCTGGCACCACACCCTAAGTCAGTCGTTCACCTTGGCGACCCTCCTATCCCTGCCTGGCCCAAATCCGCTGACTGGTAAGACAGATGAGAAGGCCACTTGGGCCTTAAGGTCCCTGAGTTTCTTCCTCAAGGCCTCAAAGTCCCTGGTGATACTGCCCACACCCTGCCTGGCTACATCATTTGTGCCCATATGGATCACCAGAAGCAGCTGGTGACCCCCTGGTGCAAACAAGACGCTCCACTCTATCCTTAACATGCTGGATGCGTGTGCCCGGCAGGCAACAGACCTCCCTCACCTCAAGGTCAGGGCAGCACACTGCCGCCTCAGTGCCCATCAGCAGGGAGTCCCCGACGACAATCATCCACCTCTGTTTCTTCCCGGTGGTGGTAGGTGGCTGTGCCCTGGCCCTCACCTCTCCTGCAACAGCCCCCTTGCCTCTTGTGGTCCCAGGCTGGGGTCCTGCTGGTCTTCCAAGGCCTCATCAGTCCCAGCCTCCCCAAACAGAGAGAACCTGTTGCCCAGCTCCAGATCAGTGCCAGGAGAAGGAGGAGGCCATGCTGGCCTTCTCTTCCTGTGGGTGACATGCCTCTGTGTCTCCCTGGCTGTTCCTCCCGTGGCCCCTGTTCAGAATGGGCGAATGGAATAATCAATTCAATTCACAAAAATCCAGATTCAGGCTGGATGTCGGGAAAAGCTTCCACACAGACAGAGCAATATGAGAGTAGACCCAGCTGCCTAGAGATGTGTGGGCTCTCCCGCACTAGAGACATTCAGAAAGAAGCTGGACAGCCATCTGAGTGAGATGGTGTAACTTGGTGTCCTGTAACAGCAGCGGCTTAGACTCGATGGCCTTCATGGCCCCTCCCAACTCTACTATTCTGTGGCCATGACATTGCTAGGACAGTGTTGGACCTATTCCTTACAGGCTTGCTTTGATTCAGTTCCAGTTTTGTACAAATAAATGACATGAGAAAAGACACATGACTCTAGCATCATACTTGACCTGTTCTGAACAGGAACTCTGGTGCTAGTGGTTCTCCTGGACCCTGAATGCAGCATTCAACCACTGCTGTTGAGTGACAACTGAATGAGGTTAAAAGATGTCACTTGGCAGAGGTCAGGATGAAGCTGAACAATGGAGTACTACGCTTGGACAGTAGCTAGCAATGCAGTTTGATTATGTAGCCCATGCTGGATGCTTCTGGGGAGAATCCTGTTATCAGTCATTATTTCCATCTGCTGCCAGAAAATACCCTCTGGTAACGGCAGGGGCCCCTTTCCACCTTCAGTCACCACTCAGTATCAACAGCTAAGTGACATATTCAGCCCTTCCCATATGCCCAAGCATACAGAGATGTATGACTGGGCCCTGGGAGTGCTCTAAGGCAGGATATGGAAACATATCTAAACAGGTTCTTCTGCACAGTGTTGTTCACTTGTTCCCTGCCTCCCCAGTTTAACACAGCCCACAAAATGCCATCTTGCTAACAATCCCCTTCTGCATAAGCCACATCACATACATGCACAGTAAGATATCAGTTTGATAGCAAATAGATTATATAGCCTTACATTCCCATTATCCCCATTGGTTTAACTCCCCAAAACAGAACTTTGGGTTGGGTGGAGTGATCCACAGAACCTTGAAACACACTTTGGCCAGTGAGCAGACATGAAGAGCAGCATACACATGCTGGTTTCTTTTGCTTAAATGCACTGGGTCCAGAATATCAAATTAGAAAAGATAGTTGGAAACAATCCAGTAATCAGTACTCTGGACATGTACTTTGGGTAACTCCAGTTATGCTTAAACACACATTATCAGTCACTGTATCTTGAAGATAAATCAGTGGCATTCCTTGCTTGTTGAAATGCACAGTGCATAGTATGCTGAATTCACACTCATGAACAACCCAGCAAGATCATCTCTGCCAAACTGAGCATTTAAATACTCATGTACATATATATCTGCAGAGAGTTCTGGGTTGCTAGGACCCCAAGTATTACCAATCAGAAGGTGCCATACAGCTATTCTGTTTGTTCCGCTGAACAGTTTTTTCCCCAAGAAAAAAATGGAAGAAGTGGTGGGAAAGCATAGAAGGGTTACAAATGAAGGAGAGCCTCATAAAATTCTTAGAGCAGGTGAATGCACAATCTAGGCTTTGTCACGAAGCATCCCAATAACAACAGCTATTAAAACAAAAAACAGAACAAGAACAAGCAAAGTACCTGAGACAGGCACACCATTTCCAAGGTAAAAAGTCACCCTCCCCAGTTATGTCAGGGACAAATCCTTTGTTCATCTGAATTATCCATTCAGAAAAATGCAGTTCTCTTTACAGCATTTATGACAAATTTCTCACTTACGGTAGCATTGCCTTCCATCAGTCCCAACTTCAAAACCGGGATTACAAAAGCATGCAAAGGACCCCAGGGTGTTCACGCAGCCGTGAGTGCACCTTGCAACTCCCTCTGCACACTCATCAGCATCTGTAGAAGAAAAGAGGGTTGAAGGAGCATTAGCCTTCCAGTAGAACAGCCGTCTTTTGAAACGATCTTCAACAGAACCTTTAAAACTTTCTCATAGTCGTTACTGTATTCCATTACTTTCTGGACAGAAAATAACAGAATGAAATTTAGCAAACAAAAAAAATTCATTTAGCAAATTTAGCAAAAAAAACTTTCATTTAGTAAAAAAAAAAAGTAAATGATAAGAGGCATTGGCAACAGCCTATGCAAAAACAACTTGTATTCGATCACAAGCTGAGGCTTCGGCGAATGGGGCGGCATAGAAATATTCTAAATAGATAAATAAAATAAATATGAGTCAATGCTGTGGTGTGGCTGCAAAAGAGGCAAATGCAATTTCAGGTTGCAGCAACAGAAATATAATTTCAAAGTCTCAGGAAGTGATTTCATGCAGTCATTTCCACTTTAATCAGGCTGTCAGACCTCATTTTGAATACTGTGCTGCTTATAACACTCTAGGAAGGTTTCCTATAGGTTGGAACCAGTTTGCAGAAGTGCAGCCAAGATGATCAGGGGACCAGAAAGTGAATCACACCAGGAAGGAGTGCGGCAACTGGAACCGAGAAAAGAAGACTGATGGTGTGTGTCGGGGTTGTTTCGGGGTGGGGGGTGTTACTTTTCAAGTTCCTTAGAGATTTTCAGATGCCTAAAGGTGATTAGACAATGTCATGGAGGATAAGGCGGTCAATGACTACTAGTCATGAAGATTATGAAATGCCTCCATTAGCAGGGAAATAAGCTAGTTGCTGGGAACAGGAGTAGCAGCACGTGATGGCACTCATATCCCACTTGTGGGCATCCCCAGGCCTCCAGCTGGTTACTGTGTGAATAGCCCTCAGGCCTTGGTCTGATCCTGCAGGGCTTTTCCTTTGTTCTTATGTTCCTTTGTCCACAGCCAGCATGAAAACCAAGTCACCTGGGAAAGAACAATAAAGAGATTGTTCCACCTCCACCAGCCAATTAATAGAAGGATTTAAAAAAAAACAGCCTTTTGAGAGGTTGGCATTCTGCATTTGCAAGCTGGCTGTAAAGAAAGGAAGTTCTTGTCCTTTGTAGCCACCAGGGAAATGCAGCCTACTTGTGGTTTAGCAGGTTAGCAAAAGCTTTGTGGACTTTCTGCAGGAATGAGCCTCCATTCAGTTCTTAACCCACTAACCTCTCTTCTGGAGAGCTCCTTTCAACAAGGCTCTCAAATGGCTTAGTAATGTCAGATTGTTAGGTCTCTGTAAAGGGAACCCAAGGAACATCTCAAAGACAGCTGGGATATATCACCTATGGGCCTGGGGGCCCATTTAGGAATTTGAGAATCTGCACCACCACAAAATTCCTGATCATGAATGAATGCTTTGGCATCTACCTAACACGTGTATGGCACTTGGGCTACATCTTGGTCAGCCAATGTAATGTCAAGTGCACGTGACAATATCTGCTGTGAGTTGGCCCCTCCCTCTTTCTTTCTGGTCATCAAACTCAAGGCAATTCTTTGAAGTGCTCTTCTTTCACTGAAGCTCAACAAATTACAGCACATTGTGAACTCTAAATAGCCTGGTACAAAAGTTCAGGGAGATGCTGCTACCCACAGAAAGAGTTCAATCCAAAGTAAAAAAAAATACTTTACCCAATATTATTATTGCAAGGATAGAGACTTATTTCCTATACTGGAGGACTTTACAATACTTTCAATAGATAAATACAGATTCCCATTCAAATACTTATTTGGATATTTGGTCCACGTTTATTGAAGCCTATATGCAATTGTTAGAAAGGTGCATGTATTTCATACAAACCCATGTAAGAATGTTTCAAAAATAGGGAAGAAAGATATTAAACAAAAAATCAGTTGCCTACAGGCACCATGTTGCTAACACCTTTGCAAGTCGGTAACCCATTCACAATCCCATCAATAGGACTTTAAAAATTAAGATGTTTGCCTCTGTGGGAGTAGAAGCAAGGACTAATGAAACCACAAACATAGTTCAACCAGCTCCTGCTCCCTTCTGTCCTTCACTCCCCTGAGGCTACACGGAGACTACAATCCTACACAGAGACTATGTATGTCTGGACAGAAAGAATTTCCTTCACCTTCCAGCATGCCCATGCCAGCCAAGCTGGGAGTTGCAGGCTCTTTGTCTGCCTAAACATGCTAGGGTTCTGCGATTAAGCCATGGGCTGTGACTCCTGTGTACAAGCCCTGACCTTTTACCAGTAGAGGTGGGAAAGGTGAAGGATTTCCCTCAACACACTGGGCCACTGGCTAGCCTTCCAGGGCATGCTCCATTCTGCATACCTTATTGTCCAACCAGATTTCCAGAAACACTCCTGAATACACCCAATACATGGATTAGTATAGTGGGGTACAATTGTCCATTTGCTTTAACAGTTTTTCTCAGCTTACCTGCACAAGACTTCCCGTCTGCCAAAAGGGAATATCCAGCATAGCATGCACATTTTGCATGTCCACTCTCATTATGGCAGATGTGTAGGCACCCTCCATTTCCACTGGCACAGGGATCATTCTCTGGAAGCAAACATCCCAGAAACAATTTCTTGGGCACATGAACAACTCTAGCCAGAAATGTAACTTGTGCTAATGATGGTTGAGAAGAGAAGGTGCTCTAACTACACACAAACATGCACAGATGCCAACCGGCATACACCGCCAGGGGACCAGATTCAGCTGACACCATCAGCAACATTTTCTGCAACTTTATGACTTTTCTGCTAAGACATTCATTCCACTGGTTTGCCAGAATCCATTTGAAAAGCCTGCCTGGAAGAGAAACTTGAGCATATTTTAAAGTGTTACAAAACTTGCCAATATGTATACTTGGTTGTGTATTCATGAAGCTCTTTTGCAACAAGAAAAAACAAAGAATTAAGGGACTTGGGAGAGGAAAAACACACTCCCCTAATGATATTCTCTGCTTCCTGCAGCGCTGACTTGCTTTTCCTAATATTCAGCAGAGATCTGACACAGATACTGCCATGCGCCTTCTGCCTGCCAACAGTTTTCTGTGCCAGCAGTTCAAATTGATGACACTCGCCTCTACAGTTTCCTTTGCGACTTGACAAATATAATTGCTCTAGTCTGCCTAGCAAACCATGACCAGTCCTTAACGACTAGCTATCTTGCTGCGAGGGGATGCAGCAAGAGTAGCAGCTGAAAATGCACTTCTGAAGGGGGCAGAAGCCCCTATTCCAAAAATGAGAAAGTGAAGAAAATTATCGAAAATGGCAATGTGCCTCTGTGGATGGCCTTAAAAAAGATAGAAGTTTTTGAAATGTGACCTATAACAGGTTGTTATGAATTTAATGGACTGAAGGGGTGACCAACAGAGACGTATTAAAGAGAATGTATAAAGATGCAAAAGTATAAAATATGGAAAATAGAATATTTGTATCATACCATAAGAAATGAAAGCTATAGATGTTACAGCTGATTATATAAGGTAAAATAAAGAGGAAAAGACGTATATGAACATCTTGGCTGGAAACACCTTCCCAAAAATGTGTTGGGGGCAATAAAATATCATTGTTTAAAGTAACCATGTCTAAAAGTTGTTTAGCTTTGATGACGTCCAACCTCTAGTAGGAGAGGAAGGAGGAGGAGGAGGAGAAAATCCATCAGCTCCAGTAACAGCCAAACATTTGGAAAAATGTGCCACAAGGCAAGTTCAAATTACCAGCTAATGCCACATTAATAGGTGCTGCAGTATATTTATATGTATTTTCCACATTTACATACCACTTCACATGAATACGGATTCCAAAGTGGGAACCAATAAAAGAACAAACATGTTTATAAACATTAAAAGGTTAGAAGCAAACAAAAACAGAACATCAACAAAAAACATAGATAGGCAATTGGGGAAGGCTTGTTGAGATAAAAATGTCTTCAGTACTTATGCGGCTTCTGTAGCTTGGGCTGAGAGCCAGTGTGGTGCAGTGGTTAAGAGCATGGGGCTGGGACTCAGACGATCTGGGTTCGAGTCCCCGCTCGGCCATGGAGCCAACTGGGTGACTTTGGGCCACTCACAGACTCTCAGCCCAACCTACCTCACAGGGTTGTTGTTGTGGGGATGAGATGGAGGAGGAGATGTAAGCTGCCTTGAGCCCTTTGTAGGAAAAAGGCAGGATATAAAACACAATATAAATATAAATAAATAATGCTCTCTGCATGCCCTTGAGCAATGGAACTGGCAGCCACGCAGGGTGACTGGGCCTGCAATTGGAAGCATAACTCTATGGCCGTGCCCTCCTCTTCAGGCCCGCTGCAAACCCTGTCCTGCCATGTGTGCCATAGGTTCATCACCATCAGTGTGGTCCATCCCTCTGGGCTTCTTTACAGGGCAGGTGTGGAGCATTTTATCCTCCTTCCAGGGAATTCTGGGGATTTTAGTTATGGGAGGAGGAGGAGGAGTTGGCGCTCTAGCAGATCCATATCACAGGATACTGGTGGCGACCATGAAAGGTAAAATGTTACAAAATAAATACAAAATGGTAAGGTGTACAGAATTGGATATGGCCAGGCAGATATGCCAGGGTGTGCATCAGCAAGGCATTACAAGAATTGCCAGGGCAGTGGTGGTGGTAAGACCAGTAGGGAAGAACTGGTGCCACCTCCCCCAGTTAGTTGCCTCCATATGCCCCAGTACGTTGTCCTCTGCCCATGGCGGTCACCTGCTCAGCTAGTGTGACTAACAGCTGCTCACAGGCTACTGCAAGGGGGATTTTATCTTGCCCATTTTTCAAGATACATGGTAGGGCTCCTCATAACATCCAGGGATACTGTACTAGACAGACTGATTTTGCATAGAGTTAAGCAGTGCTTCCTTTTGTCTCCCAATAACCTTCACTGGAACAGGTGGAGCAACAAAGGCTGGTTTTCACATGACAGAATACAAAGTAAGTCTCTGTCTGGACTGATCTACTTTAGACTAGGTAGACCAGGGCTCAGTGTGATGGCAGCTCCCATCAGTAGAAACCTGTCATCTATACATAGGGATGGAGTTGGGGGAGATGGTGCACTTAAACTTGTGAGCTCCCACTTTTGTTCAGTCAGAAGTGATACATTCCAGTCAATGATTTACCAGTTCTGCTGTTATAAAAACAATATTTTGAGAAAGACAGAAAAAATGCAAACAGCATTCCAAAGGTGAATGCAGCATTAAGATATAGACCGTTTTATTTTCCAACATTTTCCTAATTATTTCTAGCACTGCATGTCCTGTTTTCCCTGATGCAGCACATTTGGTGGATCTGTTCACGGCACTTCCTGCTGTGCCCACAACATCTCTTCCCTAAGAGCTAATTTAGATCTCATCAGTGCATTGTGAACTTAAGAGCTCCATTCCACAAATGTCATTCTGTGCTGTGCTGAATTGCATCTATCCCTTTGCTGCCTATTTGCCCACTTTGGGGACGTCCTTCCAGAGTTCTTCAGGACTGATTTGAGATTTTACTACCTTAAGTCATTTCAAAGCACCACCACATCTGACTGCCTCACTCTTTCATTCTGGACGGTGGATCATTTCAAGTTTGTACAGATTATGTCCTCACTGTTTTCAACTTTCATTATGAAAAGCACTCATTTATGTCAACTCCGATATTATTCAGCCTGCAGAGCTCATGACTTTGTATCTCATACCTTCCAAAGATTTCCTTCCTCTCCTGCCCCCCACCCATGCTTCATCCAGGACTTCTTGCCCTTCCTCCTGCAGCCACCTCTTCTCCTGCCTTCTTCTTTTTGTCCCCATCCTACCCAATTCTCCCACTGCTCTGCTGCTCCTCAACTGCCTCTAGGTACTCCTGGTGCCACCTTACTACTTCCGTTGCTCCCTCCTGCTGGCCTACCAGCCCTCTCACCTGCTTCTGGTACCATGCACCTTCACCCGCCTATCTAATCTGCCTGCTTGTTCACTCCTGCCGGTGCCGCCACACCTACCCACTTGAGGCTTCTGCTGCTGGCACCTGTTGCTTTCTCCCACTTCTTCCTCTCCTACTTGCTTGCTTTGGTGGCTGCCACATTCCTCACCCGCTACTTCATCTTAACACTGCACTTAGCTCCAGAACAAGAAAGCAGGATGTCTGCCTGTTTTCTCAGTCCTGAGCATTGAGAAGTAGTAGAAAAAGCAACTCTGGGGGTGACAGTGGGACCAGGGATCTGGAGGTCACCACCAAGGATCCCCAACTCCAGCTTCAGATGGTGCCTTCAGTCACAGTGGAACTGCTACACTGTGATTTGTGTCCAACTACTTGGCAACACTGGAAGTAACAGGAGATCAGCATGGAGGAGTCCACACTGAAGAAGTTTTTCCCCCATACCAGAAAACTCTTAAGAACTACAGCACATGTATGGAAAGGAACTTTGGGGTAGGCCGTGACATCAATGGGTGGAGTAAGAAGCCACACTACTAGAGGTAACATTGGGAAGGAGTCTTTGGTGTTACTTTTTGAAAATCCAGAGGAATGCAACTCTCTGAAAATCCACAGAATGCAATGCCTATCACATCACCCTACCCTATCTATATGCTCAAGTCCCTAAGAATGCCTCATAGCATGTGGTTTGCATGCAGAAGGTCTCGATTTTAATCCCACTAATAGGACTTCGGGTGACAGGGCTAAGAAAGATCTCCATGTGACTTTACAGCAACTTTCCTCAGCTTATTTATTCCTTTATTTATTTTTATAGTGCCCCAATAGCCAAAGCTCTCTAGGCAGTTCACAATATCATATTTAAAAAACAGAACAAAATACCTAAAATGCATTAAAGCATATTAAAATATCATAAAAGTTAATTGTACAAAACTTAAAACCAAATTTAAAATTAAAAAAAAGTTCAGAAAACCCTATTGAATCCTGTCTAACAATTAGCAGGCTCCAATAACTAATTAAATGCCCTGCAGGTAAAGACAGACTTTACCTGACACTGAAATGACAGCAAAGTTGGCACCAGGCAGGCTTCATTGGAGAGCTTGTTCTACAAGTTTTGGGGGGGGGCACCACTGAAAAGGCCCTTCTCCTTGTTGCCATTATGCAAGCTCCCCTCAGAGGTGGTCAAAAGCAGCACCTTGAATTGAGCTCAGGAGCATATAGAGAGCCAGTGAAAGTGGGCCAGAACTGGTGTCATATGATTAGACCATCTGATTCCTGTTTTTGGTCTGGCTGGGGCATTTTGCACAAGTTGTAGCTTCCAAACAGTCTTCAAGGGCTGCCATACATAGAGTGCATTGCAGTAATCCAGTTTAGAGATTACCTGAGCATAAATCACTGATAGCAGGCTATCTCTGTCCAAATAGGGACATGGCTGAGCTACCAGTCTTGCAGAAGGCACTCTAAGCCACTGAAACCACCTGGGCCTCAAGTGACAAAGATGGCTCAAGGAGCAAGCTATGAACTTTGTCCTTCAGGGGCAGTGCAACCCCATCTGGAAGAGGCTGGATTCCCACCATCCAGTCAGAAGAACCACCCACCAACAACATCCCAGTCTTCTCTGTATTATGCTTCAGTTTGCTAGCC